AGTTGGGCCCTATGTGTTCTGCTTCGTTGGTGTTGACTTCTGCAGGTGTAACGTAACCGGTGTCGGCGAATCGAAATAAGTTTCGGCATTGACGCTTTCGCGAGGATTGTCGTCGTCCATCGGGATAGGCACGGAGCAGTGTGGGAGTGGTCCTGCTTCTTCCGAGGCGTTATCCACGTTCTTCTCGTCCCAGTCAGCTTCGTCTGCTGCCGAGGCGAAGTGTCGGTCACCACGGAAGCCACCTGTGGGATCCCGATCCTCTTCCAGGTTGGCAAGATACGTCGGAAGGGTGAGTCGTTCGTAGAAAATGACATCACGTGCTGCTACTGTTTCTTTGGAGTGGATGTCGAAAATCTTCCACGCGTTGTAATTTCTTTCGATGCCCAGGTGTAGTCCCCACTGTGCGCGTTGGGAAAATCGGCCGGCTGGTGCAGATGGGGGTCGGTACTGTACCATGCAGCCGAAAACTCTTAACATTTTTGTACTGCCCTGTTTTCCTGTCCATAGCAGGTGCGGTGATGCGTTGTTTGGCAGTGATGACGACGAAGGCAAGTTGTGCAGTATGACAGCATGGTCCATCGCTTCAGGCCACTGGTGATTGGGCAGTCGCATGCCACGCAGTAATTTGCGCATGGTGTTCTGGAGAGTTCGATTCATCCGTTCAGCCACGCCTTGCTGTTGATGGGCGTAGGGAAGCGAGATGAGTCTCTTGATTCCTCTTTCTGCCAAGAACTGCTTGAACCTCTGTGAGGTGTATTCTCCTCCGCCGTCTGACTGGAAGCTTTTTACTTTCACGCCTGATTCTCGTTCTGCTACTGGGAGCCAAGCGATGAAGGCTTCGAAGGCCATGTCCTTGCTTGGAAGGTTGAGGTGCCAAACGTAACGCGTGGCAGCATCGATGAACGTAATGGTGTAGCTGTATGCTCCTTGTCCAGGTTCGCGATTGTACAGGATATCGCTGTACACTTTTTCAAGTGGTGCGTAAGCTGGTGCGCTGGGGTTGTGGTGAGAAGTGAAAGGCCGATGTGGTAAGTCAGCTTCGGGGCAGGTAAAACACGTTCCACGCGCTCGTCGAAGCTCGCTTCCGTCGGTTAGAAGCAGTGAATATTTGTCGAGTACTCCTGCTCGGATTGTATTGTTTAACACCGTGTTGCTTGGATGTCCCATTCGTGCGTGCCAGATGTCTTCGCTGGCGCGATGTCCGGATGAGCGACGATACAGGTCGGAGTTGGAGTAAAAGGCGGCGGTGAAGTTGGTGCTTCTGTGAACTTCGCGAGGAGTGGGAGTTACCTGCTGCGCAGGAGTCGGTGGAGTGTTGTCGATGTGTGGTGATGTCGTCGAAGAGCTCGCGATTGGTGTTGTAAGTGTTGTTGGTGTTGCCGATGTTGTCTCTGCTGCTGTTGATGTTGTTACTTCTTGTCGGATTGTTGCTAATGCTCGTGTTCTTTCTGCTTCAGGTATGGTATGTGAATACCAGAACCCTCCGGGGCTTAAGTCAGGGTCGAGGTCCGGTGGGTGCGTCCAGGGGGCGAAGTTGACAATGGCGTCGCTATCGGCCGTTCCTTGATCTGGTACGAAGTCGAGGACGAAGACGTTGTTCTTCAATACTGCTCTGCCGATGTAGAGTCTGTTAGAATTGCCATATTCTAGCATGCTAACACTTGTGACTGTACACCAATTGTGGTGTACAGTTGGGATGGGACTACACCCAACTTTGGGTGTAGTCTTGCACTTTGGGGTGCCAATCCAACCCAATTGTGGTGGAGCCCCCAAATGCAACCCATTGGGCCATAGGTTGGCCCACTCTCACAAAGTAAGGACCAACCCAACCCAATGGGCCATAGGTTGGCCCACTCTCACAAAGTGAGGCCAACCCAACCCAATGGGCCATAGGTTGGCCCACTCCCCCAAGTATGGCCAACCCAACCCAATGGGCCATAGGTTGGCCCACTCCCCCATTCCCACCTCCCTCCTTTCCCTTCCAACCTTCTCTTCCCAAAGCTATGTATGCTTGCAAACTCTCTAATGAAGTTAATGCTTGAGTTTCCTTTCTTCACAGAGTCCTCCTCGACCGTGGAAGAGCTTGAAGTCATGTGTGATGCTGTCTGCTTCAAGATGGATCCCCTTCGCCATTAGTTGGCTGACGCTTAGTAAATTATAGCCGAGTCCCTCTGCTATTAAAACCTTTGACATTTGCAGTATAACGTTTGTCTCTCGTGACTGAAGTTGCACTACGCCTTGTCGTCGTGTGCGCAGGTTCTGATTGTTGGCGACGGTGATGACAACCTCGCGTTGAAGTTGGTGTTCACGTTGAACAAAACGTCCTGAAGAACACATGTGCTGTCCACAGCAGCTGTCCAAGAACCACGTATCTTTTCCGGACGGCTCACTTTGAGCGATAGCTGCATACGTCGGATTTGGTTGAAGTGACTCGCGGTGAGGCGTGTTGTTGTCAAGTTGCTCTTCAGGTGAGTAATATGGTGGTGACTCTGTGATGCAGGAGTCGGTCAGTCGTGTCATGCAACTAACGATGTTTCTTGTTCCTTGCGCAGGTTGTCCCGTCGATGACGTTGAGGCTTGTACTTGAGGAGTCGAACTCGCTTGCGTTGAGGCAACTTGACTGCTTGAAGGCCGAAGCTGCCGCTGCGTTGGTACTGACTGCTGTCGGTTAGGGCAGTGTGAGCGAGGATGCCCTGACATCTTGCAAAGGTGACAGAACGGAGGTACTGGTTTTGGTTGATGCCGATTGTTGTTGTTGTAGCGTCGTTGAGTGTGGAATGCAAATTCGGGCACTGATGCCTTCTTCTTGTGTCGTTCCTCTTGCAGGTCCATATCTTGCTGCTCAGCATGGATTTCGACGCAGAGTGCTGCTTTTGATATCTTTCCATGCGCTCAGAGTATGGCGCGGGTGGAGCGCCACTGAGGACCGAGGCCGCCGATGATGACTGTGACGAAGGCGTCTTCTGAAATCGACCCTCCGCATCGAAGGAGTTTGTCGCGCAATTCGCGACAACGGCTGATATACGCCATCCCCTTTTCGCCTGGTTTCATTTCGACTGTCGTCAGTTGCGCCATTAACCGACTTTGATTTACGCTGTCTATTGCTTGATACAGGTTCTTCAGGTGGTTGTACGCGAGCTCTGCAGAGTTGCCGTATCCCCGGTAAGACCGTATATTCTGCTGCTGATTCGGAGTGATGTTTCTCAGTAGTATTGTGTACGCCATCATTGACTGATACGTGTACTGCTGCTTGTCGTACTGTGTGCCGTGTGTTGGATATGGCAGGGACCCGTCGAAGAAGCCAAGGATCTGCGCACCTTCCATCATTAGCTCGAACTCGAATGACCAGGTAAAGAAGTCCTTTCCGTCGAAGGGCCTTGTCGTTTGCAGTTTTAAGACGTGCGCGAACTGCGATTGAACTTGAAGTGCATCCAGTGTCTTCTCTTGTCCAGATGCAGGTTGCGGGTGTGACATAAAACTGACGGAGCCACGCTGGGGCTCGTACGGAGCAAATGTAGGCCGTTGCTGTTGATTTCCACGTGCGTAGGATGAACCATCTAGGCTCATTGGTGTTGCGTTGTTGTTGTTGCTGTTGTTTGACTGTGCAGGTGCCCCTTGCTGGTGTTGTTCGTAGAAGGACATGAAGGAGAAGAACTTCTCCATCATGTCTGGGTCGAAGGCCGCGGCTTGATTCGCGGGAGTTTCTGAAGATGTTGCCCTTGGTCTTGTTGCCATACCCTCCACTGTCTGTAGGCCAGAGGCAGGAGGTGGAGTAGGAGTAGTACCGGGAGACCCGTTAGAGGAGCTTCTCTCCTTTTGTGTTGCCATGTCTTGTGATGTTGTGGGTGTCTTGGTTGTAGTTGAATTTGTCCTGACTGCTCTCATACCATGTTGGGCTGAAAAAGCCCTTAGGATCTTTGCAGGACCAAATTCAGGGTAGGACAATGTAATAGCGGAAGCGTTTAATAAAAGACTTGTGAACCACCTTGCGCTGGTATGTGAGGGCAAAGTTGATTGATTAAAACAAAGAGATACAGGCTTTTTATAAGGATACAAGGAATATGAAGAGATACGGTTAATAACCGTTTTACTGTTGCTGTTGCGGTTCGATACAGTGCCGACTCGGGTAACTGCTCTGTAACGAGTCAGTTATGTGTCCTTGCTGTCGCGCTGTACATTTCGTCAGGTCAAAGGTCGGGGACCTTTGACCCTCGCGTAACCTCCGACAGTTGACTCGCGTGCTTCTTCGCTGTAGTCAGTTCCGTTTTGTGTCGCAGCTTCGATACGACAGAAGCGCTATAAATCACTTGTTTCCAGCAACTACAATGTAAAGTGAAGCGAACTACAACGAAGTAACGGCGAGTCAACCAAAGCGGTTGACAAGGCGACAACAGCAGGAGGTTGAAGCGAAGGTCAAAGGTCAGCAACCTTTGACTTGACAAAGGCAGCGCGACAGCAAGGACAAATAACTAACTCGCTATTGGGCAGTTACCCGAGTCGTCGCTGTATCGAACCGCAACAGCAGTTATAGTTAAACCTTTCGTATTCCTTGTAATCATATAAAACCTTGTATCTCTTTGCTATAATCCACACATCTTGTTCTCACATACTAGTGCAAGGTGTTTCAATTAATCCACTATTACGTTTCCGCTAAATACATCACCACTCTGATAGTTTAGTCTTGAAAACGATCCTAAGGGCTTTTTCAGCCCAACAAAATCATGGAAAAGAAACCCTAAGAAATAACTTAGCGCACTCCCGTGTCACAACTAAGCACAGTTCACTCCACCCATCCCCCAGTGCCCCTTTATTCAACCTGTGTGGCCGGCTGCTGGCCTCCTCTGCCGCACCCCTCCTCTGCTGCTACCCTCTCCCATGCCCCTCCTCTGTTGTACTCTCTGCCCTTAACATCCCCCCTTCACTACTGCCTTGTCTAATCCCGTTTTGTTCCGTCAATAATTGAAACCGCGAGCCAGTCGCAGCACAATCAACTTACATGGTTACTTACCCACTGCCCGGGCTGTTGACAGCCCAGCAGGAGGAGGAGGAGCAGCAGCAGCAGCAGCAGCAGCAGGAACAGCAGCAAGCACGCCCGGCCTGCGGCGCACGGGAGAGTGCATGCTGCTAGCAAATGAGCCGGTAGAGAGTGCGCTTGCCAGGCGCGGGAGGACTGGCTTTCGCACTGCTGGCGCTGCAGCCACTGCTGGCGCTGCAGCCACTGCTGGCGCTGCAGCCACTGCTGGCGCTGCAGCCACTGCTGCTGTAGTTGTTGCTGCTGGTTTTGTTGCTGCTGTTGCACCTCCTGCTGTTGCACCTCCTGCTTTTGCTGCTGCTGCTTCTGGCAGTGCTGGTGCGGCAGCAGTTGTTGCATCCATAACGAATCGCGACACACGCACGTCTTTCCCAAACGCTGCTGCTGCTGCCGCTGCTGCTGGTGATGGTGATGTTGCTGCTTTCAGTGCTGCTGGAGCGTCAGACACATCACTTGCAGCACCCCCAATCAACCCAACCAGAGAAGAAACAGACCCATCCCTCGACACTCCTCCCTCCCTCACTCCTGACGATCCACCCCAAGCCTCCGACCCTGAAACCGAGGCTTTAAGGGGCGTGCCGGAACTTAAAGCCGCTGAGACGGAACCACTAGGATACACGGAGATAGAGGAGGCGAGCCTCTGCCTGTGCATGTTGTGCCGTGCCCCCCTGACAGCTAGGATCGTTGCTGCCACGACTGCTGCCAGCAGGACCGCCAGCGCCACGCTGGCGAGAATTATCGCCGTTGCTGACGTGGACCCCGCTGACGTGGACGGCGCTGAGCTGGCGCCCGATGACGTGTCAACTGCAGCGCGGAAGGTGGAGGTTGGGGAAGGATCAAGGACTTGCTGACGTGGAAGGGTGTCTCCTATTGGCTGAAAATCAGCATCGCCGAGAGCTATCTTAATAGTAGGCTTCACAGGAGGCAGACTCGGAGGCCTAATAGTAGCGGCAGGCTTAATAGTAGCTGCCTTGATAGTGGTCCCGGTAGGTAGGAGGGAGTTAGGAGCGTTCTTATGCAGGCAAAGGGCGATGCCGTTGCTTTGACTGGTGGAGTTGCCGAGTGAAGACGCCGCATAGTAGGAGATTAAAGCCCAGCAGCGCTGCTTCTGAGGCACTGAGTCCCCAGGGCGAATAAGCGCATCTGTAGATATGGGTGGAGACGAGGGGAAAACAGTGGGAGGTTGGAGGGAGATTAAAGCCCAGCAGCGCTGCTTCTGAGACACCGAGTTCCCGGGGCGAATGAGAGCATCTGAGGAGGAGGGTGGGCAGAGGAGGGGCGTGAAGTTAGGAGGAGATTAAAGGCCAGCAGCGCCTTAGAAGCAGCGCCTTAGAAGCAGCGCCTTAGAAGCAGCGCCTTAGAAGCAGCGCCTTAGAAGCAGCGCCTTAGAAGCAGCGCCTTAGAAGCAGCGCCTTAGAAGCAGCGCCTTAGAAGCAGCGCCTTAGAAGCAGCGCCTTAGAAGCAGCGCCTTAGAAGCAGCGCCTTAGAAGCAGCGCCTTAGAATCAGCGCCTTAGAATCAGCGCCTTAGAAGCAGCGCCTTAGAATCAGCGCCTTAGAAGCAGGGCCTTAGAAGCAGCGCCTTAGAATCAGCGCCTTAGAAGCAGGGCCTTAGAAGCAGCGCCTTAGAAGCAGCGCCTTAGAAGCAGCGCCTTAGAAGCAGCGCCTTAGAAGCAGCGCCTTAGAAGCAGCGCCTTAGAAGCAGCGCCTTAGAAGCAGCGCCTTAGAAGCAGCGCCTTAGAAGCAGCGCCTTAGAAGCAGCGCCTTAGAAGCAGCGCCTTAGAAGCAGCGCCTTAGAAGCAGCGCCTTAGAAGCAGCGCCTTAGAAGCAGCGCCTTAGAAGCAGCGCCTTAGAAGCAGCGCCTTAGAAGCAGCGCCTTAGAAGCAGCGCCTTAGAAGCAGCGCCTTAGAAGCAGCGCCTTAGAAGCAGCGCCTTAGAAGCAGCGCCTTAGAAGCAGCGCCTTAGAAGCAGCGCCTTAGAAGCAGCGCCTTAGAAGCAGCGCCTTAGAAGCAGCGCCTTAGAAGCAGCGCCTTAGAAGCAGCGCCTTAGAAGCAGCGCCTTAGAAGCAGCGCCTTAGAAGCAGCGCCTTAGAAGCAGCGCCTTAGAAGCAGCGCCTTAGAAGCAGCGCCTTAGAAGCAGCGCCTTAGAAGCAGCGCCTTAGAAGCAGCGCCTTAGAAGCAGCGCCTTAGAAGCAGCGCCTTAGAAGCAGCGCCTTAGAAGCAGCGCCTTAGAAGCAGCGCCTTAGAAGCAGCGCCTTAGAAGCAGCGCCTTAGAAGCAGCGCCTTAGAAGCAGCGCCTTAGAAGCAGCGCCTTAGAAGCAGCGCCTTAGAAGCAGCGCCTTAGAAGCAGCGCCTTAGAAGCAGCGCCTTAGAAGCAGCGCCTTAGAAGCAGCGCCTTAGAAGCAGCGCCTTAGAAGCAGCGCCTTAGAAGCAGCGCCTTAGAAGCAGCGCCTTAGAAGCAGCGCCTTAGAAGCAGCGCCTTAGAAGCAGCGCCTTAGAAGCAGCGCCTTAGAAGCAGCGCCTTAGAAGCAGCGCCTTAGAAGCAGCGCCTTAGAAGCAGCGCCTTAGAAGCAGCGCCTTAGAAGCAGCGCCTTAGAAGCAGCGCCTTAGAAGCAGCGCCTTAGAAGCAGCGCCTTAGAAGCAGCGCCTTAGAAGCAGCGCCTTAGAAGCAGCGCCTTAGAAGCAGCGCCTTAGAAGCAGCGCCTTAGAAGCAGCGCCTTAGAATCAGCGCCTTAGAAGCAGCGCCTTAGAAGCAGCGCCTTAGAAGCAGCGCCTTAGAAGCAGCGCCTTAGAAGCAGCGCCTTAGAAGCAGCGCCTTAGAATCAGCGCCTTAGAAGCAGCGCCTTAGAATCAGCGCCTTAGAAGCTGCCCTTTACCTGCTTGGCACAGTCCAAGCAGCGGCCTGTGCCGCCGGTGGTGCTGCCGCAATCCTTTTCCGAGAATTCTCAAAAAACTCACACAAGCATTCACAACACAAGCACACAGAGAGAGCCCCACCAACAAACTCACCAAAGAGGGTGAAGACTTGCTTGGCACAGTCCAGGCAACGACCAGTGCTGCCGGTGGTGCTGCTGCAGTCCTTTTGCATGTAGCTGCTCACCCACCATACTGGGGAGGCCTTTAACGCGGATAGGAGCTGGTGGGGAAAGCGAGGGGGCCCGGGGGTAAGGAGGGCCGGGGAGTAAGGAGGGCCGGGGGGTGGAAGGTGGTGGGGAGAAGGGGGGAAGAAAGGGTGGAAAGAAAATTGATTAGGTCGAAGCTTCTCACACACCCTCTCACACTCGCTCTCACACTCCCTCTCACACTGCCTCTCACACTCCCTGTCACACTCCCTCATACACTCACCCTCACAGTCCCTTTTGCACTCTTTCTCATACTCTCTCTCAAACACTCCTTTTCCCCTCACACTCCCTCTTGTCCCCTCACACTCTCCCTTACGATCGCTCTTACACTCCCTCTTTCCCCCTCATACTCCCCCTTACACTCCCTCCCACAATCCCTCTCACACTCTCTACCTGGGCCTCTGTGGTAATCCCTCGGCATGCCCCCTTGCCTCCCTCCAGTCCGAATTGCGTCGCCCCAAGCCCCAGCCGCCCGCACTGTAGCACTGGATTAAACTTAGAAAGTGCAGCTGCTGCTGCTGCCGTAGCTGCTGCGAACGCCGCTTTTGGTGATTGTAAATAGGGTACAAAATCCTTCATGCACTGCCCGGCACGGGCATCGTAAACTGCAGGGGTATTTACCCTCGGCGATTTAGCCTTTGCCGTGGCAATGGCAGTAGATTGGAGGATTGCTGACGTGGCAGCACAGCAGCCAATCAGAGAAGGGGTAATGGGAAGAGGTGTGGAGGAGGAAGAGGAGGGAGCGAGGGTGCTGCATGCATTGGCCAAGAGGGCCAGGCTGGATTTGCTGTATGCTGACGTGGACCAGGGACACGTGGCAGCTGTGGATTGGGTGGAAAAAAATAGGAACAGAAAAGGCTTAGGAAAATGTAGGTTTCGGAAAAAAAAAGAGGAGTATATGCATTTGAATCAAGTGCGGGAGGGAGTGATGATGTGTTATTCCCGCATGTCCACGTGGCAAGTAGCAATTGGTGCAGCAAGGAGGAAATGCTTACGTGCCTGGCAAGCTGATAGGTCTGTCGTCGTCAGCAGCCCCTTGGGTGCCACGTCAGCACAGGGGTAGTTTCTCCCGTCACTAGCACACACCTGTAAAAGAACAATCTTTAATCGACACCCATCAACCCACCGTCCCAATCACCTCAATATCATCCACCCACCCCTCTTTTCCTCCCACGTAAATATCACTCCCTCGGCTCTCCCCACATAAGAAAACATTCTTTAGTCGGCACCCAACCACCAACAGGCACACCCCCCCTTTTCCCCCACCACCTAAATATCATTCCCCCGCCTCTCCCACCCCTCCACCATGGTTTTACGCTCAGAAATCCATGCTTTTTTATTAACACACTTTTGTAATCACAGGCCCAAAGGGATTCGTTATAAGCACGCACCTTGGGGGCTTTAACGGGGCACTGAGCTTCAGAAGGCGTCACGATCGCATCTGAGTAAACGGGGGGGGAGGGGAGGGAGGTATTGGAGGGCAGGGGAAGGGCGCAAGAGGGTTAGGAGGTATGCGGGGAGGTGAAAGGGGTGAAGGGGGTTGAAGGGAGTACGACTAGGTTTGAGGGGGGTTTTGTACAAACCTGGATTCCCTGGCGCTCCAGGGAATTAAGGAGTTCGGGTTCAGAGGGAGGGATGAGGGGAGGTGAAAGGGATCAAGGGAGTAACAATTCGAGGTTTTGTACTAGTATCGGGGTTTTGACGCTTAAGACTCTGGGATTCGAAGAGTAAGTATCTGGGTTTTTGGAGTCTGGGTTTTATTCCTTGATCAGGTGTACCAATTCTTCTGAGGTTCCAACCCGCCTCCTGGTGGGCGGCAGTTGGTGAGGTTGGTGGTGGTGGCCATTCCCTTGGGCGCCATTTCTTTGCACGGGTACATCCGGCCATTGGTACCGCACACCACCGCTATCAACCCTAGGAATAGGTAATCGCCCCGCACACTACCGCACCGCACACTACTGCACTCACCGCCAGGCGGCCGACACTTAGTGAGGTCAGTGGTGTGGTGGTGGCCATTCCCTTGGGCGCCATCTCCATGCACGGATACATCTGGCCGTTCGCCCCACACACCATCACCCACTTGCACCGCACGCCACCGCACTGAACACATAGGGCGCCATCTCCCTTCATGGGTACATCTGGCCGTTCGCCCCACTCACCACCACCCACCCAGTGGCACCGCACACCACCGTGTTCAACTCACCGCCAGGGGGGCGACACTTGGTGAGATCGGTGGTGGTAGCCATTCCCTTGGGAGCCATTTCTTTACATGGGTACATCTGACCATTCGCCCCACACACTATGACGTTCAATGAACACAGGATTACGGGCTGGGCGGGGGCTGGTGGGCGGCAGGCAGGGATGGGTGAGCAGGGAAGGGTGGGAGGGGGACATGACAAAGTAAGCCGAATATCCCCTTAGCAGCCATCTCCCTTGCACGGAGCCATCTGCCTGTTCGGCCCACACACTATGCCGTTCAGTGAACACAGGATTATGGGCTGCCTTTTGATGGTGTCAGGGTGACGTTCAGTGAACACAGGATTATGGGCTGCGCGGGGGCTGGAGAGGCAAGGGGAGGGGAACGGGAGGTGGGAAGGGGAGTATGGGAGGGAGGGAGAGGGTAAGGCGAAAGCATCTCCCTGCAGGGGTACATCTGGCCGTTCGCCCCACACACCATCACGTTCAATGAGCACAAGATTATGGGCTGGGCGGGGGCTGGTGGGGGGCAGGGAAGAGGGACAGGGAAGAGGGGCAGGGAAGGGTTGGGTGGGGAAGAGACGTAAAGCCGCAACACTCGCTTAGGCGCCATCTCCCTGCAGGGGTACATCTGGCCGTTCGCCCCACACACTATCACGTTCAATGAGCACAGGATTATGGGCTGGGCGGGTGCTGGTGGGGGGCAGGGAAGAGGGACAGGGAAGGGACGGGAAAGAGGCAGGGCAGGGTGGGGTGGAAGGGTGGGTGGGGAGAGGCGTCTCCCCCACACTCCCCCACACTGGATTATGGGTGGAAGGGTGGGTGGGGAGAAGGAGAGGCTAAGCTGCATGCCTCCTTGAGAGGCGTCTCCCCCACACTCCCCCTTGGGCGCCATCTCCCTGCGCCGTCTCCCACTAAAGCGCCCCGTCCATCCAGGCAGGGGGACCCACTCGCCGAGGCGACTGGGCGCTCTTGTTCACCCTGGGTCGCTCCGGGTCGGCCTGGGTCGCTTGGGCCGCCCGGGAAGCGACCCAGTCTCCCAGGCCGAGGCCGACCCATGGCCATAGTAGCGTTGCCAGCAACGAATCTCGAAGGAGTAACTCACGGGGACTGAAGATCTTCTTGGAATGCACGGGGGAACCGATCGAGAGGAGCGAGAAGAGCGAGAGAAGAGCGGCGACCGAGAGAACGAGGAGGAAGAAAGCAGGGTAACTCACGGGGACTGAAGATCTTCTTGGAATCGACGGGCGAAATGAGCGAGAGGAGCGCGAGGGGAGCGAGCAAGGAGAGAACGAGCAGGAAGCGCCACACGGACGAGGTCTCTCCCGTGGCCCGCCCAGGAGGAAGACCCACCGGCCGAACCATAGCCATGCTTGCGTCGCTTAACAGTAATATATCTTAAGAACGAGGAAGATTATTCTGTACGCGTTATAGCACTGCTATATAAAGTACGCGCTAGCAATAATAGTGGGCGCGGAAAGTACTAGCGTGGAGGAGGATACGATTTCCCGCTGGGGAATGGCTGATACTACTAATAACGTCGAGCGTTTGGAGGATACGAGTTTCCGTGCAGTAGGTAAGATAGAAAAAACGGGAAGAGGACGAAACATATATTGAACACGTAAAACCGGGAATCGTTTCCCCTCTCGGACCGCGCTCCTGAAGCAGCGATTTCGCGAATCCCATTCCCAGGCCCGTGTGAAACGGGAATCCCCCATCGAAATCTACGAAACGAGGCGCGTAGCGACATTCCGTTATAAACAGCGCGGCGCGCGGCGCTACGGACGGCGGATTGTTGGCCTATGGACGGCGGATGCTTGGTGAGCGACGGTCTCTCATTGGCCATTAAAGCTGGATTCGAGTTCTTAGCTGCAGGAACAAATATATCCGTGTGCTGACATGTACTGTCCCCAAAGTGCGTCGTAATTATTGTGAGGCGGTTTAGTGCGATATGCTTTGTAAAAGCGCGTTTTAATTACGTTCAAGAACGGTAGATGGCGGTCTGGAGCCGCGATTGGTGATTGTGAACCTCCTGGGATACATCATCCAAGGTAGCTCACAACAGTGCGGTTCAGTGAGGTTTTCTACGTTACTAGCTGGTGTCGCTTGGCAACGACAATTCACGGCGGTTTGGAAAAAGCCCTTTTCAAAGGTGTGGGATTGCTGACGTTTGGGAAAGGTTAGTCGATAAAAACATATTCTATGCAACCAATATCCAACCGGCATACACTATTTCGTGGTACGCTCAACTAAAATATACGATAGATGGTTCATTCTATCTTGAACTAATGATTCTCGTTCTAATCTCGCGCACAAACTCTGTACCCCCTTGAAATCGAAGCGCAGCGTCAAGCCGCCAAACGAGGTTCGCGTGGCAGGTTTGCTTGTGACGCGCACAAACCTCAACACCAATCACTGGTCGAGCCGAACCAATTTTAAACTCTCTTATTGGTTGGAGGCTGGACAAAACTCCCTCGACTAGGTCCAGCTGGGCAGAACGAACCTTGGACGACCTGGGCCGAAGCAAGGGTCTCGCTTTAGTCATACGAGTCACAAGGCGCGAGGTGATATCGTTTCTATCACAACTATAGCAGGGCGGCTCGATGAACAAGCCCCTCACCCTACCCAAGTAATCACCCATAGATTATTTCAAATCCCTATCACCCGCCGCTAGAACAAACCCTGCACAGAAATTAGTTCAACCCACCACCACCTATTTGTTTCGCTATCAGAAGTCCTCCGTAATTACCGAATCTTTCAACGCGTAGTGAGTTATTATTTACTTCGGCTCGTGTCCGCATGCCACATATCTAAATCAATGTCGGCCAAGTGGAGTTTCGTACCCAGCTCTTTATGCAGTCATCTATCGTTGGCTGTTTTCCGTCTAGACCGCGTAGAGTAGTCCCGTCAATATTTCGTTCCGTTACATCCCGCTCCTAGTTCGTATGCGCATTCCGCGTATTGTTTAAACGTGTTTCGGTTCGCCATATAACAAGCGTGTAGGACGAACGAGGATCCGTGAACTTTTTCTCCTAGACGAACGAGGGCAGTCTCTGCCGGAGCGATATGGCGAAGCTCGCACACGAGCAACCAGCTCACGGTTCCAGCGCTGGTAGCTTGTTTCCGACGAAATTCACGACCTTCGGCGAGCACAGTGTGCGAGAACTCGCGATCTACCTCGTTATATACACACTTCTTCTGTGCAACATTTTCTTTTTAAGCACATCCACATCGGTCTGGGAAGGGGATCCGTGGGATTTTCCCATGCTGCGCGCCCTCGTAGCTTCCGGGAAGCTTCGGGAAGTTCCGAGTGTATCAGCGCATCAGCAAGGTGTTAACCAGGACCTGAGGGAAGCCAATAACGAGGATTTCGTCCCGTCCCTCGCCTATGGAATCCTGGGTACGTCAGCGGTTGCATGCGCATGCATCACGTGCGCGGAAATGGTGCCTACCTTACCTTTGTCGAAGCCGGTCCGCGCATACGGCGCGTGCGCGCATACGCACGTGTGCGCGCACGGTCCGCTCTTTTATACAGCAACTGGAGTAGGATTTAACCCCACGCTAGCACCTTCAAACCCATCACGCCCAAACCCGTCCCCCCTCACTCCCGCCTTTCCCCTTCTTTCCCACGCAGGTTCGAAGAACGACACGGATCGAATCTATCGACTCCTATTGGCCACCTTCCATCCCCGGAACCTTTATGCCGTGTACATAGACGATGCTGACTCAGCATTCGCGCTACGGACAAAACTCGCCGCCCATCCCGTCTTGGGGGCAGCAGTGGCAGCAACCGGGGCGGCAAATGCGACAAATGTGGGCGGCAGTGGAGAGCATGTCACTGTAACGGCGGGCGCAGGGGAAGTTGTGACTGTAACGGGGGGTGCAAGGGAAACTGTGACTGTAACGGGACGGATTTGCGTGGTCGAGGATCCGGAGCTTGTGACTGTAGAGGGCGGGTCGCGCCTGGCTGCGCTGCTGCGCCTGGCGCACACGCTGCTGCGCATGGGGGAGGCGGAAGGGGAAGGGGAGGCGGAGGAGGAGGGGGAGGGGGAGGGGCAGGGGGGGGAAGGGGAAGCGGAAGGGGAGAGGAAAGGGGAGGGAGGAGCGAAGGGAAAATGGGAGGGGGAGAGAGCAAGTACGGGGGGTGAAAGGGGTATGGGGAAGGGGAAGCAGGGGGGCGTGGGAGATGGGAAGAGGAGAGGCCGAGCGAGTGGATGGCAGTGGCTGGTGCTGCTCGGTGCGGAAGATTACCCGCTGGTGACACAGGATGGTGAGTAGTGCTGTGCGGTGATGAGCGGTGGGGAAGGTTAAGAATCTGTAAGCGTTAAGGGCTATGAAAGGTGCTTGTGGGTGCAAAGGTTTGCTTCGTGGTGACACAGGATGGTGAGTGTGATGCTGTGCGGTGCTGAGTGGTGGTGGGTCGCCCCCGTCTCTCTTCCATACCACCATGTATCTCCATGCTCCATCTTCCTACTGCTCGTTCAACTCAGCTCTGCTAGAATCCACTCAAACTCCCCCCCATCCTCTTCCCTTATCCTCTCCTCACCAGAGCTCCTCTTGCGTCTCCCTCCCATGCCACCATGTGCCTCCATGCCCCCCACTTTCCTGCTCGACTCATCTTAACCCTACCTCTCCTCTCTCCCCATGCCAAACTTTCAGCCAGAGAAGCTCTTTGGCTGCTTTCCGCAGTCTCGCCTCTTGAGATGCCTCGGACCCGCTTCCTCCCTTCCCTCTCAACCAGAGCTCCCCTTTCTTCTCTCCTCCGTCTCGCCTCACCTCTCCTTCATACCGCCATGTGCCTCTATGCTGCCTTCTTCCGTCACATTCAACTCAACTCAGCTCATCCCCTCTCCTCTCTCTCCACAGGAGCTCCTCTCCTCTGCCTCCCCTCGCTCTCCTTCGTGCCACTGTGTGCCTCCAAGCTGCCCCCACCCCTTCTCCCATCTCTCTCTTCCTCCTGTCTCTCCCCCCACCACATCTCCTCTGCCTTGTCTCCTCCGTCTCGCCTCGCCTCTCCTTCTTGAGGCTCCTAAAAAGCTATTTTTGAGGCGCCTCTAAAACCTTC